TCCAAACTCCACTCCCCTGTCGCTCCTCTTTTATTCCCTCTGGGAGGGGCCATTCATCTTCCAATTGCGGCCTTACTCCCAAGTCAAGTCCTGTTCTGTAGCTGTTCCCTTCGTCTGACTACTCTGTGCATGCGCACACTGGGAACAGGCTCCAGATGTTCTTCTGCCTCACTGATGTCTGACTCTGAAGGCAGCTGATAACTGTCAGACAACCCTGGCCCCCTCTCTGCCTCCGACACAGAGCCCTCATCAGAGCCTTCCCCAGACTCCACAACTGGCCCATCTCCCCAACCTCCTCACTGTCTGAATCTGCTGCCAGAGAAACTGTTTACTCCACTGTATGTTTCCTACGATAAACCTAAAGGAGGAGAAAAAATAACCGCCCAAACTTTGATGTTTTCCTGGTCGCTGGGCTTCATCTTACCGGTGGAGATGTTGATGTTGCCAGCCTCAATGGCTGCTTTGACGGCTTCTTTGCCCATCATCGCCGACTCCCCCTTCAGGATCCGCTCGCGCTCTTTCTCCTCCAGGCTCCCGTAGAAAATGGGGGCCCTCTTGGCAGGAGGGGCATCTCCATCATCGGACGCCTTGGTTTTGATCCCCTGCGGAAAAAAACAAGAGGTGACGATCCAGGGTTGTAGCCACGGGGCGAATCCTCAGCCGAAAGGGGATGATGGGAGTTGTAGTCCAACATGCCAGCATATTGATGGCAGACTCCACCTCCCCCACAGCCCCTTGCTCTCTAGCTCTCCACATACCCATCTTTTAAATTGTGATATTGATGCGATTCTTGTGGGTTGCGTGTGTGTGTGTGTTTTAAACCAGCTGGATTGGGCCAATTGGAATTCCCACTGGCCAGGCACAGCCACCCTCTATCTACCATCACAAAATACCACCCCCAAATTGTGAGGCGGGGCCCAAAATACAAACTGGGCAACCTACAGTGTCAAGAGTGCGAAAACGGAGCCTCTCGCGGGGATTTGGCTGATTTCCCTGCCGTGACAAATGGAAGCAAAAAAAATTACATGTTAAGTTGACTGAGTTTCATGTTTCATGTTTAATGAATAATAATAATAATAGCAATAGTATCAACAATAATAATAAAATATTATAAATAAAATAAAAATAAAATATTAATAAAATAGTAATAGAAATAAAATAATAGCAATAGCAATAATAATGAAGATGTAATAATAGTAGCAATAACAAAATAGCAGTAATAAAATAGTAATAATAACAATAACAAATAAATAATTTTTTAGCAGCCTCCTGCTTATAATGATGAATGAAGGCAGCTGAGAATAACAGGAGGGGAAGCTGCACTATCCCGCCGTTGGAAAGACCCCTTTATCTAGTCTGGCCATGAACGTCCCTTGCTGTGGACAATGGGCATTGTAGTCCAAGGTTTGAAAAGTAACGGTTGGAGAGAAGGGGAGAGTAGTTCTTTTATTTTTTCCCATTTTATTCTTGTTAGGAAGCGCAGCCCCCTTCCCAGCTAAATAGGCCGAGCCCACCCACCCCCGGGAATCCCACCCTCCCCCGCTTTGACCCACCGTGGAGCCCCTCGGCAAAGCCATAGCCGCCCCTTAACAGCCGGTCCGGCAGGATAAAGCGAGCTTCCTTAGAAGCGCTTCCGGGGCAAACGGGCTTCCGCTTGCGGATCTCCCGCATCCGGCGGAGCGCCTGGGCCAATGGCGTCTCCGCAGGCGAGTCGGCCGCTCTAGGGTCAGGAGGGCCTCTATGATGCGTTTCCGGCAGGCGGAGGGGAGAGGGGGCTTTGTAAAAAGGACGGTGTTGCGCATGCGCGCCTAGAGGCATCCGCTGGACCGGCCAGCGGGAGGATGCTGCGGAGGAAGCCCACCCGGCTGGAGCTGAAGCTGGACGACATCGAGGAGTTCGAGGGGGCCCGCAAGGAGCTGGAGGTAGGTGGGGGGTTGGGGAGGAGAGAGTGAGAGAGACCTCTGGGGAGTCCCCAGCCGGAGGCCGCCCGTGCTCCCTTTAAAAAGAAAAAAAAAAGAAGAGCCCCGGAGCACTCTGCCCATGCTCAGAGGCGCTCTCTCCGTGGGAAATGCTTTTAAAGTGGTTTCAAGGAAGCGGGGAGGGGGGAAAAATTGGGTCTGCTTTATATAGGGAAATGTCTCCGCTGATGACCTAGGGAAATTCTGCACATGCTCAGAGGCAGCCTTGCCCCAAGGATCTGCAGGTNCAAAGCTAATTGGCAATCAGGTCTTTGGCAGCGTTTCAAGGGAGATAAAGGTGGGTGCTTATCAGCCTTATCCCGAAAGACTTTGGCAGACTTCTATCGGACTCTTTACAAACTATCTGTGACTCATTGCGGGCTGTGAATGAACGTAATTCACAGCCGTTGAACTAAAAAGAGGGTTTTTGGGGTGCTTTGTTCGGTCTCAGGAAGCCTAGGTCAGAACAATTTTTTTCAGAAGTGATGCGATGTGTAATGTATTTTCCACAGAGGATTCTTATATATTTTCACCCTCGCTGGAAAATCATGAGACATTCATTTCAACTGATTTGGCCTCTAATTCGGTTAATTGCAAATGATTTATGCACAAATCAACACTTGATCCCTTCCGTTTCAAACAGACTGTTCTTTTATATATGTGTTAGGCATCGTGGAAGTCCAGCTCAAGAGGAGACAAAGAACTTGAGCAGCAACTGAATAAAACACACCCACCTCTTCTTTGGACTTCTTAGATTTTTCGTCATCTTTCTTGGTTTTCTTCAAGGCGTCGGGGCCAACAACCGAGAGAATATTACGTAGCCTGGCGAGAAGGAAATGTCAATGTGAAAATGCCTTTTTAAATGTATGAAGGGCAAGGGGAGGGACAGTTCAATCTAAATACATCGGCTCTCACCTCTCCCTCCTTTCAGCCGGGCCTTCCCCAAAGAGCGTTATAGGTTCTCCGAGCGCTCGTAAGCAGGCCTTGACTTCGGAGTCATCCGTGGAAACGTTGATTTGCCTCGCCCGTTTCCGGCGCTCAAATTCGGCCAGGACTTCTGCTTGACGTTCGCTGATGTGGTCATCCAGGTCAAAAACTTCCCCTAGGCCAGAGGAGAAATTCAGTATATATCAGGCATCCTATGTTGTTCTGGCGGAGGCTTCCCAAGAGCCTGAAGCAAACGCCTGATCCCGACAAAAAAACCCTTTTATTAATTTCGCGTGAATTCTGCTCATTCACATCCAGGAAAGTTTTTCGAAGGAGGATTTACAGTCACAGACCTTATCTGGCTTGGAGAGCTGCCAGGCCGATCTCTGCAGAACTTGGCAAGGAGTCTCGGAGAGTCATGAACCAATGAAGCGCACTAATTGCCTCCTGCAAAATCCACTCCCCTTTCACTCCCTCTGGGAGGGGCCATTCACCGTCCACCTGTGGCCTTACTCCCAAGTTGACCCTTGATCTTTAGCTGTTCCCTTCGTCTAGCAGCTCTGTGCATGCACACACTGGGAACAGGCTCCAGCTGTTCTTCTTGCCTCACTGATGTCTGACTCTGAAGGCAGCTGA